TCGTACGAATCGTAGATTCGTTGACGCCATGCTGGCGCGCGAGATCAACTTGCCGTCTTCCTTTCTCCAAATCTTGAACAATTTGGTACTTCACCTCGTAGCTTAATGAACGTCGTGTCTTCTTTGGCTTAGTGCCGCTGGGTCCAGGTAAGGAAAGGTCTCTCTCTGGGGGCGGTGGTGGTCCGGCGGAAGCCATTTTACGGAACAATGGATGCGCGTTAACACGGGGTGGCCTTGAGGGATGAAACTGCCGCGGCTAGGTCAAGCGTCGTCTCTCCTCCCTCCCTCCCTCCCCGGGGTGGTCACGTCATAATACTTTAAGCCAATTACAGCTAGCAGCAGAGGGGGGTAGGGATGCATGGCCAATCACAGTCCGATACGTCATATGACGTCAGTGATAACGCAACAAAGACACACTGCGCAACCTTACCGCGCGGCTTGCCCAAGCGGAGGGAGGAGGAGGGAGAGGCGAGGAGCACAGGCAGGCAGGCGGGCGCGTGGCGCGTGGGCAAAATCTAAAAATAGCATCTCGAGCTGGACACTCACCGCGTATATGTGGAAAAAATCCGTGTTAAGTGAAAGTTCAGCTCTGGCAAGGCACCGCCTAACGCGGTTTCACTTAGCGCGTTTTCGCATATACGCGGTGCCTTGCCAGATGCTATTTTTAGATTTTGCCCACGCGCCCGCCTGCCTGCCTGTGCTCCTCGCCTCTCCCTCCTCCTCCCTCCGCTTGGGCAAGCCGCGCGGTAAGGTTGCGCAGTGTGTCTTTGTTGCGTTATCACTGACGTCATATATATATATATATATATATATATATACAGTGAGTTCTGCTATAACGCGTGTTTTGATAACGCGAATTTGCTCTAACGCGATTTATGAATTCGGAACAATATTTGTATAACGCGATCGCTTGTTTGCTATAACGCGATTTTTGCTTACTATTTCTCCAATTTTGTGGTATTAACTGTGAATATGGTAAAGAAGAATATCTCCAAAAAGCATTCTGATGATAGAATTCCCGGTGATTATCGTAAAAGAAAGGATATAAGACTTGAAGAGAAGCTTGATGTTATCAACCTCAAAATCACCCTTCTCCCCCATCAAGTTACATTCATATTTTTTCAAGGTAAAGTGTTAAATTTACTGTATGATTTCATTATTAGATATGAATGTAACATTTATTTAGACTGTGCTATCCTTTGTGTTAGGCTAACTACTAAATTTTTTCGATTTCGAGTAATCTGCACCTAACCCTATTTTCTCCATAAGCCCTGTTATTTCTATTACGCGATTTTCTATAACACGATATTTTACAAGAACACAATTATCGCGTTATAGCAGAACTACCTGTATATATATATATATATATACTGCCCCCTCCTCTTACCTCAGCATCAAATCCCTCAAAGTCTTAAGGCAGCTCTACCACCAGTAAGTCACCCAACACATCAATATCATCATCGGTGGTGCCATCATCATCTAAGTGATGTTTGCCAAGGCATTAACAGGCTGGGCCTTGCGCAGGTACCGAGTAATAAAGGCTGCTGACGAGCATTAACACGGGACATGTACAAGGCCTTATATTCCTCCATACCCTTATCAAGGGCAGAGCACACGAGGATGAGGCCTGGTATCGCATTCTTCTAGCTGTTCACCGAGACGTGCGATGTTTGTGAGCAACTCAGTCAGCTGGCGTGTTGTAGGCTCACCAGGCTTAATGTCATCCTCCTGTGTAGGTTGCTGTTCTTCATCATCCTCCAACAGTTCTTCAGTTGTCAGTTGCTGCTGATGTTGACCAATGATTTCTTGCAAATCTTCAACCTGAACATATGAAAATCCCGGTGCTGGGATTGACTGCGTTGCCTCCACTGTGTCCATAAGTGTTGCCGCCACGGACTGCCTCTCCCTGCTTGCCGCATTCTGTTCTGCCCCAATTATCTCGGAATTAGCAAACAAAGGCTTCCAAGCGTGTAGCACTGTTGCAACATTAATCTTACACCCTGCCTGAACAATTCTGTCCACTGCATTTTTAATATTATATTTCTTCCAAAATTCACAAACTGATAAAACTTCACGGTTGTGGGGTGGAGCGTGTGAGGTGCTAGGAGTCAGATCATCTACTATCTCCTCCTCCTGGTTGGCTGGTAGAGCTTGGTCACTGTCAGAGAGTTCTGCCTTGATTTGTTGTAACTCAACTAATGAGTCTGTCTGCTGATGAAAGTCTTTATAGAGTGACTGATAGTAGAACAGTTTAACGTTACTGATGAATTTGTGGTCAAGTGGCTGCAAAAGTGATGTGGTGTTAGGAGGAAGGAAGATAACTTGTACATTAAGGTGGCGTCCAATTAGAAACATAGAGTGTCCAGGATCACTTTGAAATCAATGTTCTTCCTCCGACAGCACCGTTGAGCGTCGGGAACAAAGTTTATTTCATTATTAGGATAAAACCACTATGTTATATTATGTTTATTGTTGTTTCCTCTTTGATTTGTTACAACATTTGCTTTTGTGTTATTTCAGAAAAGTAGTAAAATGAGTCAAGTAAAGCTTGGATGCAGCAACCAAGTGTTTTATTTGCCACATATATCATGTCGATCCACGATTTTGACGTGGATAAGATAAATCTTGTTAAAATCACAGGAAAAAGGGAAACAATGGAGCACCTTAGCTTTTGTTTTTATTCAAGACATCTTCAGAGGCAACTGAATTACAAAGACTGAGAGAGGCTTATGTACACAGGGTGACCTTACAAAACATGACGTCAGGTCAAAAACATGACATCCACTAATCCACACACCACCACCACCGCTAACACAAGAGGAGCTTATAAGAAAGGGCGACATAAGTCATATTAAATCAGGTCCAAAATATGAGACCCACTAATCATCTATCCTACATCTACCTCAAATGTTTTCAAAGCATTTTTAACTTAGGGCCACTGACAAATAAATTTGTGTTAACATATCAGTTTTGTACTGACCATCACTAAGGTTTATAGAATTAATTTCTTGAATCAAACTTGCTTCAACCAGAAGTCTTTCTGTGACACATGTTGATTTATACATTTCTAAACTGTTTTCCAATCCATGGGATGATTATTATTCCTTATATGAACGAAAAGTGCACTGCTTTCAGATGCTGTTCTAATATTGTACTTGTGCTGTTTAATTCTGAGTTGCAATGCTTTCCCAGTCTGATCTACATAATTTCCATTACAATTGCTACATGGCACTCATCAAAATAGCTTGGGCCTAAAAAAAGGCCATGGGTGAGGAAATGTAATGGTTTTCTTATATTGTGAACAATTAAGTCAATAAATATCTTAAAAGACTTTTATTATCCATGGGAGTAACTGATGAAACAATACTCAGTTTGTTCAGATATTATTGATACACAACTGATTAGAATATTGTACTGCAAACATGACAATTAATAATTTAACTTAGGGTATTAAACTGTACAATGAGTTGAATAGAATATGATTACGGTAGTTCACAGCTGGAAATATTAAAAATAAAATAAACAAAGTACAGTACATCAAATTAAAAAATAACTTTAATTACAATGATGAGAATAATTTATACTTAAACTTGACCTAACATACACTATCCCTACCTAACTGTCATGATTGTAATGATGGCTAGCCTGGTAAAACCTAATGATTCATATTACGCTTACACATCCACAAAACCATCTGAGTCTCCCAGTGGAAATGTCCTCCGTTTTCTCTGTTTCTTTGATGACCTCATCAAGATGTCGTATTTGTGTTGACCGAATTTGTAAACCCTTTTGCATCTACCGAGACCTGTAGACCCTTTTTTCTCCTATGAATATCAGAGACCCTGATAATCATAGTGAAATTGTTGTAGGGAGCTTAACTAAGGAATTAGTTAAAATTCCTGAAGGGAACTTTTAAATCTGCTCCTCGTGTTTGTAGTATGGCGCTGCTTGTTGGGATCTGTTGCCATCCAATCTTTTGTGATCAATTTAATTCTTGCTTTTGATAGCTAAGTCAGAGCATTGTTTGTAAAGATAATAGTAGGGAATGAAACTGAGTTCGTAGTCTCAGTTTCAAACGTCAGGGTGTACAGTAACGTAATTCAGTGAAATGGTTAAGTAGGTGGAATCCGTGACTTTGGCGTGGGTGGAGGACGGCGGTTCGTTTTTCAAACCAGTAAGCGCCACGATCCTCCACCCACAGGTAAGTCATTCCACCTTCTCCGAGTTGTAATTCGCCATTTTTAAGTGATTTGACCTAATTAATAGTTTGATTGTGCAAGTGTTACAGTAACGTAGTTAATGTGCTTCGAGTGAAGTTTTTACATCCTTAATGTCCCTTTGAAACGGCGGTTCATTTTTCAAATGAGTAAGCGCCACGATCTTCCACCCACAGGTCCCTATCGCAGCCTAGGCCGTGTCTGTAGCGTGGATGACGCATCCACTTGTCTGGGGAGATGTCTGAGGTCCAGTAGAATCGGTTATCCCAGTGAACCCCGACTGTCAGAAGCTCCACTACCACCTATGGGCCCCATAGCTGGCCAGTATTCCCCTAACGCTATGCCCACGTGGTGAACCCGGATCATCAAGCCCCACAAACAACTGCCAGCCCCGTCATTGGTGGATGAGTACCGTACATAACTCAGTAGAGCTATTTGTGTAGTGGTGTTAGTCCACCGGAATTATCGGAGTTTGTTGGAAGGTGTCACTTAGTGATGAGACTCCCATGGCGGCCGCTGGAGTATTGCCCCTGGGTATTGAGTGTTGTACTGGCAAGTGCTACTGGTTTTAATGGTGCTAAGGTGCTGTGAGAGTTTATGTGTGTTTTGGTGTGGGTACACCCAGTAGTGGTGCAAGTAAATTGAGCCTGAGGGCATGGTACCAGGAGTTCCTATTTTGGGTGCATACAAGGTCTTTTCTGTAACCATTTTTGTGTTTTAATAAACAGTGTATTTGTATGTTGGGTCTATGATTCACCTATAGTATTCACCATTGTTCTTTCCCTAATGCTCGATACTATAATTACATGTACCCATGGGCCTTCCTCTCGCGTCACGCTACCAGGTCAGAGTATTAACGTAAGTTGTTGTAAGAGTGCCAAGCCCTTAAAGGGTGGCAGCTTGTGTTGTGCGCTCTTACATAACTATATCTAACTCATCCTCACCAAATATGACCTACTAACCTAACATTGTCCTTCTCAAACTTAACCTAAATTGCCATAGCCTTCCCTAATTTGGAATGAAAGAAATACTATTGAGCCAACCTGTCCTGCCATGGCACTCGACCCCTGTTCATAAAATAGTCCTTGAAGTTCTCTCTTACTGTTTTTGCATCATTTGAATGTCCCCTGCCAATTGCCTGAAGTTTCTCAAATTCAGTTAGATGTGCCTCCTGCCAGTGTCTAGAAACAAGCATGCCACGATTGATGTCTTCCTTCTCCAAGAGTTCTGGTGCCAAAGGTGTTCTGCAGTTCACTCTCAAGTAATTATGTAGTGCCACACTTGCAAATATGATCTGCTTGATACAGTCAGGCCTTAAGCTTATAGGTTGCTGAAACACCCGAAATTTGGTTGATAGTATCACGAAGGCAGTTTCAGACACACTTCTTGCTCGTGACAACCTGCAATTGAAAATAATTTTGTCTGCAGTCATATTTTTACCTTGATAGGGCTTCATCAGGTACGTCTTGAGTGGAAATGTATCATCTCCAACGATCACATATGGAGACTGGACAGTTGAAAAAGGCAATGATGCAGGTGCTGGAATTTGAAGCTTATTCTCTTCTAAGTATCCCCTGAGAGTGCATTTATCCCAGTCACCAGCATCACTTGCCAGGCCCTGGGCTCCAATATCAACAGACAAAAATTTGTAATTAGCATCAACTAGGGCTAGCATAATGATGCTGTGATGGGATTTGTAGGTACAGTATTCAGATCCAGAGTTTGGTTGCTTTGTTACAAGGAAGCGTTTTCTGTCGAGGGCTCCTATGCACATTGGAAAATTCCACAAAGTGTAAAAGGTACTTGCCACGTCTTGCCACTCATCTGAAGTTGTGGGGAGTTTAAGGTAGGTGCCTTTAAGGGCTGTGTACAAGGCCCTACACACTTCAGGAATTATGCTGGAGATTGAGTTGTGGTTTATCCTGTACTGGAATTCCAATGACTGACAAGATTCTCCTGTAATTCAAAAAGGATGATTTCAATTTGGGATAAAGATAAAAGTGCAGTTTAGAGTCATGACTTGACGAAGCTCGAACTTGACCTTAAGAAGCAAAAATCAAATACAAATAGTAGCATACATTTTATACCTAAAACAGCTACCAACCACTTGTAAAGGTGTTAGATTTAGAAAATAAATAATTAAATAAATAACTAAAGTACAGGAATACTGTACTTCGCTATTCGCAACCTCGATAATTGCAATACCTTATTTCTCCCCTTACTGGGCCAACGTTTGAGTTGCATTTTTGTTATATTTCAACTCATTATTTCGAGTAGTTATACCTATTTTTATTCAATTTATTTTACCCTGTTACATGCACACACAATTGTTCATACAGAATGTGCAAAAAAAAAAAAAAAAATAGATGATTACATAAGGTCAAAACTCTAAAGATAAGTATTCATGTCCATGTAGTTGTGCAATCATGGTAGAAGAAGGGGTGGGTGGTGTGAGGTACTGTAATGGTCACTGGTAATGGTGGAGGGGGGGGGGAGCAGGAGGGGGGGGTGGGTGGTGGAGGTACTGTAATGGTCACTGGAGTGGGGGAGCAGGAGGGGGTGTGGGTGGTGGAGGTACTGTAATGGTCACTGGAGTGGGGAGCAGGAGGGGGTGTGGGTGGTGGGAGGGTACCGTAATGGTCACTGGAGGGGGAGCAGGAGGTGTGGGGTGGGAGGCACTGTAATGGCTCACTGGGAGTGGGAGAGCAGGAGGTTGGGGGTGGTGAGGCACTGTAATGGTCACTGGAGGGGGGGAGCAGGAGGGGGTGGGTGGTGTGGAGGTACTGTAATGGTCACTGGAGTGGGAGAGCAGGAGGGGGTTGTGGGTGTGAGGGCTGTAATGGGGTGGGGGAGCAGGAGGGGGGTGTGGGTGGTGTGAGGTACTGTAATGGTCACTGGGTGGGAGGAGAGCAGGGAGGGGTTGTGGGGTGGTGGTACTGTAATGGGGAGAGCAGGATGCTGTGGTCACTGGGGGTGGTGTGAGGTACCTGTAATGGTCACTGGAGGGAGAGCAGGAGGGGGTGTGGGGTGGTGTGAGGTACTGTAATGGTACCTGGAGGAGAGCAGGAGGGGGGGTGGTGTGAGGCACTGTAATGGTCACTGGGAGGGAGAGCAGGAGGTGGGGTTGGTGTGGTAAGAGGTACTGTAATGGTCACCAGGATGAGGTGCGTGGGTGGTGGAGGTACTGTGGTCACTGGAGGGGAGAGCAGGGAGGGGGGGTGGGTGGTGTGGAGGCACTGTAATGGTCACTGGAGTGGGGGAGCAGGAGGGGGTGGTGGTGGTGTGAGGTACTGTGTGGTCACTGGAGTGGGGGGAGCAGGAGGTGGGTGGTGTGAGGTACTGTAATGGTCACTGGAGTGGGAGAGCAGGAGGGGGGGGGGTGGGTGGCGTGGAGGTACTGTAATGGTCACTGGAGTGGGGAGCAGGAGGGGGGTGTGGTGGTGTGAGGTACTGTGGTCACTGGAGTGGGGGGAGCAGGAGGGGGTGTGGGTGGTGTGAGGCTGTAATGGTCACTGGAGGTGGGGAGCAGGAGGGGGGTGGGGTGGTGTGGGAGTACTGTGCATGGTACTGGAGTGGGGAGGAGCAGGGAGGGAGGAGTGGGTGGTGAGGTGCTGCATGGTCACTGGAGGGGGAGCAGGAGGGGGGAGGGGAGGTGTAATGGTGGTGTGGGGAGGTACGTAATGGTCACTGGAGGGAGCAGGAGGGGGTGTGGGTGGGTGGGTATTGTGGTGCTGGAGAGGGAGCAGGAGGGGGTGTGGGTGGTGTGAGGTGCTGCAGGTACTGGGAGGGAGAGCAGGAGGGGGGTGTGGGTGGTGTGTGGAGGTAGCTGTAATGGTCACTGGAGGGAGAGCAGGAGGGGGTGTGGGTGGTGTGAGGCACTGTAATGGTCACTGAGGGGAGAGCAGGAGGGGTTGTGGGTGTGGAGGTATTGTAATGGTCACTGGAGTGGGGGAGCAGGAGGTGTGGGTGGTGTGAGGGTACTGTAATGGTCACTGAGGGAGAGCAGGAGGGGGTGTGGGTGGTGTGAGGTACTGTAATGGTCACTGGGTGGGAGAGCAGGAGGGGGTGGGTGGTGAGAGGTACTGTAATGGTCACTGGAGTGGGGGAGCAGGAGGGGTGTGGGTGGTGTGAGGTACTGTAATGGTCACTGGAGTGGGAGAGCAGGAGGGGGTTGTGGGTGGTGTGAGATAAATAATAATAATAATTAACAGTTTATTGAAAAATTTCAGCAGCCCAAAGAATGAAAATATACAGTTGACAGAAATGACTTACGGTATTACTTATGTTGACATGGAGGGGGAGGGGGGATAAAAGCTTCCATTTGAGAAAGGAAAAGGAACATACAGTCAACATACAAATTAATATTTACAGTGGAGATCACGTAGGTCACATGCTCTGAGGTGTTGAACAGCAAACACATGGTGTAGTAATTCCCTCACAGATAGTGTTATGAGGGACCCCACTTGGTGTAGTAATTCCCTCACAGATGGTGTTATGAGGGACCTTACATGGTGCATTAACTCTCACAGATGGTGTTATGAGGGACCCCACTTGGTGTAGTAATTCCCTCACAGATGGTGTTATGAGGGACCCCACTTGGTGTAGTAATTCCCTCACAGATGGTGTTATGAGGGACCCCACTTGGTGTAGTAATTCCCTCACAGATGGTGTTATGAGAGACCTTACATGGTGCATTAACTCTCACAGATGGTGTTATGAGGGACCCCACTTGGTGTAGTAATTCCCTCACAGATGGTGTTATGAGGGACCCCACTTGGTGTAGTAATTCCCTCACAGATGGTGTTATGAGGGACCCCACTTGGTGTAGTAATTCCCTCACAGATGGTGTTATGAGGGACCCCACTTGGTGTAGTAATTCCCTCACAGATGGTGTTATGAGGGACCTCACATGATAGTGTAGCAACTCATTCACTATGTGGCGTCATGGTCACGGGAGTGTGGTGGTGATGAGTCACAGCGAGTGGTGTTGATGAGTCACAGTGAGTGGTGGTGATGAGATGTGGTGAAGCGACCCACGTGCAAGCGTGTTGTGAGTTGATTAATGTTATTTTTCAATCATCATACAAATGTGTAAAGAAAAATTTAAAGCAAGAATTATTATAAGGTAAAAAACATAAAGAATAAAGATAATAAAAACATTTCTTACTGGATTGTGGGAGGAGGAAGCGGTGGTAGAGATCTCAGCCACTCCAGTTTCCCATGCACAGTAAAACTATTGCTAACTAGCAATACAGTATTTTTTCTTTTCTTTTATATATTAGTATAATTTTTATTTATTCCTCATACTACAGTATCACGAATATTGTGACCAAGTCCCAGGTTGCTGATCTGTCTTTCTGCCTCATTTACACACAATTGCAGGATCTCAATTGTTTCTCTTACTATTGACAACACAACATACTATACATATAGCATTTCTCACTATTGATTATTGTTTTTCTTTTCTTTATTATCATTATTACAGTGTTGTTGTTATTATTATTATTTTATTTTACTTTTTATTATAAATTTTATTTACTATGAATTACTATTATTATTAAATTTTTGCCCCCCAGGCCCCGATGTGGGTCAGTGACCTGTGCCCGGGTGGGCTAATCCCCATAAAAAAAAAAAAAAAAAATTACACACAACCCTTGGATAATGAGGAGTACTGTATGCTTATATCAAAAAATATATGGTCAAAGTTGTCGGCTGGGAACACATCCCCCTCATTTACATTAATTATTTGGGGGAAAATTGCTCCGATATTCGCAGTTTCATTAATCGCAATGACTTTTAGGGCAATAACTGGGGTATTCCTGTATAAAGGAAAAAACAAGAGCTAGCTTTCTAATAAAGTATATTTCAAGGCACCTTCGGGTGCATAATGCACTCAGGTTGACTATCACTGCTCTAAACTGAATCTTTACCAGGATACACAAGTGAAACTTCCTCTCTGGTCCCAAGCAAAACTAATTCATAATAATCTTAGCACCAGATTTGACTTCCAGACCTCAGGTGAGGAACCAGGGTTCACAGCAAATTAAAATAAGAGATAAACTTTAGGAATACATTTTGTGACTAACCTGTGGCTAAGTACCGGAGTGTGACAGACAAGCATTGCTCTGGCGATATTGCTTGCCCAAACTTGGTATCCAGTTTCTGGATAAAGGGTGATACCAGTCTGAGAAGTTCTTGAAAATTCTCCTTGTACATCCCATGACACTCGAAGAATCCTCCAGCATCATCAAGATGCATCTTCACCAGATTGTGATGCACATTCTTGGACTTCTTGACCATCCATGACTTTATCCATTGTCGATTTCGATTTTTCTTCATCCTTTGTGAATGTATGTAGCCTTGCACACATATTGCAAGAGTCACTGTCGACATTGTCATTCTCAGAAGTCCTTCATCCATTACAGCACTGGGTTTGTTTTGATTGTGGACTGGGTTAGCAGTTCTTTTTGCAGTGTGATTGCTCCATGAGGTGGGCTGCTTCAGCCTAGCCTAAAAATCATCCAGACCAAGGATATCAGTGGCTAATGTGACCATAACTTAACCAACCCTACCTAACCAAACATAAATTAACTTATGAAACCTAATCTAATATTATATGGGAATAATCTAGGACGGGTTGGCAAACACATATGGGAATATACATTTCTTTGTACACTAGTAAAAATGCCACCCCCCCTCCCATCAGCAAATGATATTCGCGGCCATTTTGAGAACCTAACCCGCGCGATTTTGAAGGGCATGCAGTACTGTACAGTATTATGGTCATTTGGCAATTTTGTCCTGAACTGATTTTCATACATATAAAAAACAATTATTATCCTATTTTAATGAATGTGGTCATATTAATAAGGTAATTTTATCACAGAATACATCCATAACCAACAAAAATGTATAAGTGTTCAATAAATGAGTGAAAGAATAAGGAATATTGTACTCATGCTTAATACTTCTTGTTTCCTTATTATTACTGAGGGGTGTAAACGACACTCATTGGCTGGCGTCAGTGACATCCTCATATGTCTTCCCAGAGCAGTGTGACCACTTCTTTCCCACCACATGGCATCCAGACCCTTGCATTCAAGGCAGATTTACAGAGCAATACTGACGAGCCCACCATATGATGTCAATGTAGTTGTATAGAGGAAGAACAGAGCTATTTGGGGGCATAGAAAATTAGTTTTTCAACCCATGGTGGGCTCGTCATTGTCGCACGGAATACCTCATATAATCTATCCGAGATAAGATGCAACTACTGTACAGTACCCAACATATAAATTCTAGGTTAAGTTGGCCCATTTTATCTCCAATAAATCACATATAATGTTGCAGTAGCTGGTAATTTGATTCTGCATATGAAGCATATGTCCATGGGTGGTCAGAACGTATTTCATTCATTCTCAAAAGAAATATGGAAAAACAAATTTGCTGGTCAATAAGGAACCAATAATATAATCAATGTGGTTAATCTTACAGACAAATTGTGCTCATCATTTTATCTCTCACTTGAAGTTAAGTTAGGTTTCTTGATAGTCATTTCATTCTCAACCATCACAAGAAACAACTTGAAGTTATTTGGTCGTGACCCCAATGACCCATATGTCAATGCAGTTAGCCTGGGGAAATTGCGATATGGATGTATACAATTAGCCGCAACTTAATATACCGTACCCGTAATTCCGTCATAGGATAGGGAGGATTGGCTGTTTCATCTTATCTACTATAAATCATATACTGTACTGTAATGTTTACAGTCAATATGGCATCATTGGGAGTTAACATGTCGATATTCTTAAGATAAGCAAGAACTTATCTTCTACAGAATTTTTTTCTAAAGCTACAGGTTAACATGGGACCATATCCATGAATACAGTTACTAATACAGCACTGTACAATTATAATGTACAGTACTGTACAGTACAATACAATACTGTACAGTAAAATGTACATTAACTTAGAAAGTATCATCAAACACAATTAATCATACAGATACTAGTGTTTTAATTTGGAATCTGCCTATTATAATTTTTTTGACCTATGTAGACTTGTAGGTTGAATGTTAATGTGGTGTAATATAAAAGTTGAAATACCGGGGTATTTCACATTTCTTGTTTGCGATAAAAGGCAATTTTGTTTAATTTTCTCAATTTAGATCTGCAGCAATATTTATGTTGAATACTATAAAATAAATTTAAAGTTGAATTTTATGTTACTTTGGTTGATTAATCATGAACAATTCCTCGTTTGATATCAATGAGGTAACAAAATATTGTTGTTCTAAGTCAGGTAAACCAGACATACAATGTCAGTAAACAGCTTGAAAGTAAAAGAGATTTTTGTTGTTTATAAAAGAATTTGTTCTCTTATTTTCATAGTTTTCTGTCTGTCCATATTTTTAATAAGTTCCATAATATGGGAAAGAGAGTAAAATAGGAGCACATGAAACTAATATAAATAATGTAACTAATATACCGTACATTTATATAGGAACTTGCTAGAAATAAGAGCTTTGGAGAGGCATTAGAGTTTTGGCCAGATCACCATACAGTGGTCCCTCCGTTAACGAACACAATTCGTTCCAGAAGGTCGTTCGTTAACCGAAAATTTTGTTAACCGAAACCATTGTTTCAATGGGTTTTTGGGTAATTGGTTCCAGCTCACCGAAAATTACATACAAACTAAAAATAAATGCAGTAAAGTACACTTACTTTGAGGTGTGCATGTAGAAGGCTCCTGGTTGATGATGATGATGATGGGAATTAGAAGTGGGGGTGGAGGAGAAGAAAGAAGAGAAGGCATTGGGGTGGAAGAGAAGTCACCCCATGCCGCCATTTCACCCATAAAATTTTAGTTCTCTTGGTGTAATTCAAGATTATTTTCTTTAAATCAACACTGCACTGCATTATATATTGTCAATACAGTATGTAAAATAAACTTCAGAATTACCAATAATTGTACTGTAAAAACATAAAAATAGTTTATGTTCAAGAGAGTCTCAAGCAAGAAGCTTCCTCCACAGAGCAGGGACACACTATGACGCCACTTTGGGTGTGTTGAGTGGCTGTTTGGCGCGCTAAAAACTAGTTCCCTGTACTTCAATTATGTTAAATAATTGTTAAAATTACTAAAAACTTTAATATAAGACTTGGAAAATTATTGAATAGTACAACCTTCTTGATATTTACTCAAATGGTAACGAATTTAAGCCCTAAAACCGATTACTGTATTGGCGGACTAATACTACAGCTGGTGAGCAGGCGAAAACATGTTGGGAAAAATTTGTAAGGAATTCGTTAACAGAAATTTTGTTAACCGAGGGATCACTGTACTGACATTAATACCTTATACCGATAAATATAAAATTACAGGGATAAACTTCAACTAATCGGCCCAATTAACCGGTCAAAGGGCCAATTACCTACCGATTAATCGGTCCAACCCTATAAGGAATCAACTGGAAACAAGTATCTCATGACTTTGTCAGCTGTCCTTGGTCAAATTGACGGAATATCCATTATTATTATTACAGTACAGTACTGTACATGTATCCTCGAAAATCGCAGGGGTCAGGTTCCAGAAAAGTACCATGATAAGCAAAACAGTACATATCGAAACACATAACATATGGGAAAAATTAGTTTTGCCCCATGACCCCAAAGAATCATCCCTTAACTGGCCAAAATATACCCCCAAAAATGTGAAGGTACAATAACAATAATTTAATAATCAATGAAAAACATCAGTGATTATCACACTTACAGGCATGTCTTTGAGGCTCCTGCTTACTAGGTCTGGGTAGTCCAGAGTAGTGATTGGCTTATTTACATGAGGCTGGAATTTACGTCAACATCCATGGAGGAGGCGTCGTTGTCATCGTCGTAGGTGTGGGTGTCAGCTTCACTCGTGGTTGGAGATGGTGGTGAAGGTGGGTTGTCTGGACCAGAGTCACTGTCACTTACTGTAGGGGTTGATGCATGGGCATGAGTGACCCCTAATGGACTTGGTGTTGGTTCTTGTTGTTCTTCATGTTGTGGTGTTGCAGGTACTGGCACTGGTGTCGGTGAAGCAGAGAAGCCCCGGAAGAAAGTCGTGAACATTGGCTTCTTGGCTGTTGCCTGACGTTCCTGATAAATTTGCTTGTAGGGTGCTATACCTCTAGTTAAATTTAAAGTTAAAGTCTCTCGTCTCTCGAAACTGGGGTCGGCTTCACTTATGAGATCAATTAACTGCTGGTGGAGGGACAGTATTCTTGCAAGGTTTGACATGGTTAATGTAGGGCTGGGTTCAACATGTTCCTCATCTTCTTCTTCTAATCCAGGATCATTTGGTGACTCGTCAATTAACTGAAGAATGTCACTGTCAGGTAATTCTTGTTCAGCAGCTTCCACAAGGTTAATGATATCAGCAGATTGTAGGTCTTCAAAACCCTCTCCAGGTAGTGCTCTTGCTCTATTCAGGACCCAAGTCAAATGATCCTGCTCAAACCCAAGGAAGTCAGGTGCTGTGTCAGGCAACAGCTTGCACCAACCATTCAAGAGACATGTTTCACCGATTGCAGCCCAGGCCTTGCCAATAAACCGAACACCATGTAGAATGTTGAACTTATTCCTCCAGTACTGTTGAACCGTGAGCTCTTTGTCCTCATCTATTGCCTTGTGGATGGCCTCAAAGGTAAGGTCCAGATAGAGCAGCTTGAATGTAGACATAACTTCTTGATCCATAGGCTGCAGCAGTGATGTAGTTTGTGGAGGTAAATAAATAACTTTTATTTCACTTTGAAGATCATTGAGGTTTGTAGGGTGGCCGGTGCAGTTATCTAACAGAAGAATAACTTTGAAGGTGATGTTTTTCTTGGCACAATAGTTCTTCATTTCTGTACGGAAGTGAGTCATAAACCATTCTTCAAAAATAGTTTGGGTTATCCAGCCCTTCTTATTAGCACGCCAATGCACAGGTAGCGTTAACATGCTTATGTTCTTGAAAGGACAAGGTCGGGCCGAGCGATGTATTAGCAGGGGTTTACATTTGTAATCACCAGAAGCGTTGGCACAGAAAAGAAGAGATACACGATCCTTTGCAGCTTTGAAGCCTGGCATCCTTGCCTCTTCTTTGGCCAGGTAACTCTTGTCAGGCATACGCTTCCAAAACAAAGCTGTTTTGGAAGCGTTAAACACTTGACAAGGTAAATATCCACCTTCCTGTATCACCTGATGAAACTCCTGGGGGTACCGACGAGCAGCCTCGGCATCAGCAGATGCAGTTTCACCAGACACCACCCTGTTTGTTATAGCGTATCTTAATAAAAATTTCTGCAGCCAGCCCCTGCTTGCTTGAAAAACATGCTTCTCCTTGTCAGGAACATCGGAACGTTCAACCAAACTATTGTAGATGTATCTTGCCTTGCTCTGAAGCCGTTTTGTCGTCACAGGAAGCTTCTTCTTGTAGCAATCTTCCATCCACAAAAATACCCCCTTCTCCATTGGTTGCAGAAATTGGTCCTTTTGAACCCTGACGATACGACTCACAGATCTTGAGGATGCTTCAGTAAATGCTTTCATCACATCAGCGCGAACCTTATACACAGACCGCACGGTCGACTCATTGGCACCATATTCCCGGCCCACTGCAGCGAACGTAGCGCCATAACTTATTTTTTTTATTATATCTATCTTTTCCTGCAGAGTATACACACGTCTTCGTCGCTTGGCTGGATCAGGAACCTTGACACTCTCCTTGTTCACAGGTGCCATGGAGGAGGGAAAGTAAAAGTTAAAAAAATTGCACAAAAAACAAGCAAGGTGCAGGAAACTGTCTGCAAACACCAACCAAAACACGCGGGGAAACAAATGCTACTACTGGAAACTGGCACCACAAGCCATACTGTCATCTCTTGGCAGACGCAGCTACCGCTGTTGCTCTTGTGGACCCATCACTGTCCTGTGTATCCCGTGATAATTCCACAATAACCCAGATCAATCAGTGATAAGAGAAGACATGGTCGCAATTGAGGATACCTTGATAAGCCAGATCAGTGAGTATCGGGTCCCGTGGTTATCAAGAATACATGTATTAGTTAATATATCTAATAATATTATATATTACATCATAAAATACTGCTACTGGCCCTTTTAAAAAAAATAGAATTTGTTAAGATATTTTATAAAAAAAAAAAATGCAAGTAAACAAATGTTTGTTTTCAAATACTGTAACTCTTTATTTGAAAATGAAGTACACATAATGCTTTATCATATGCATTGATATTTTTTTAGCATACATCAACTATAGTATTTCCTCGCTAACCTGGCCCATAAGCCAAGCCACTCATCTACTGTATAGCAACAAATAGCTGATTGGTTCATAGAAAATGTTCATGCAGCTGTCCATTTATTCAACCTAAATGTGTTCACAATTGTTAAGTAGACTTGTTATTTTCTAAAATATTGTTAAATAACTGAACTATCAAAATGCAAATGATTTAAAGGCATTAGCACTTCAGAGAGGATGTTAGAAAATTTTAAATGTTTATCGTAAGAGGTCAAAGTCAAAGATGAAATTTGCTTTAAAATGAAGTCTTTTCATATTTCTTTGTTTTGTACCAAACAGAAACAAATGATACCAAACATATAGCACAATAGGTAATGAACTACAGTTTGTATGGCTGGATATATACCAGATCATTTATATAATTGATAAAACTCGATATAAATACGCACAGTCCGGGGGAGGTAAAACACTCAGGGGAATAGCAACTGGACTTTGCGGCTACATCAAAAGGGTGATCAGCTGATAGTGACAGATCAGCTGGAGACTTAACTCGTACTACCAGTATGGTAGAGCTCGCATTAGAATACTATGACACAAATTAGCTCTACCTCGTCCATCATTGGCTGCGATTTTCGTTCATTTGCACCAAATTTCTTGATACTTGATGAGAGAGGATGAAAATATTAAACCTCTACATCACTTCTTAATACCTGTAGCTTTTATCATATATCATTACTTAAATCTTGTCACAACTCAGCATTTAAGATAGTGAATGCCAAGTTAGTAGATAAAGTATTTAATAATCTGCTCGTGGGTGTGAGAAATGTGTTTGTTGGTGAAGTATCACAGCGCTGACATTTGTTGACGGTTAAGAGATGATGCCCGCTGGCTGTTGTGCTGTGCATCAAGATGAGCAAAATTCCTGCCAAGACCAATACTGTACAGTGATCCCTTGGTTAACGAGTGCCTCGGTTAACGAAATTTCGGTTAACGAATTACCTTCCATAAGATTCTTCACTTTGGTTAACGAGCAAACCCTCGATTAATGAATTCCTTACGAATTTTTCCCAACATGTTTTCGCCTGCATTTGGCTGCCCATCAGCTGTAGTATTAGTCCACCAATACAGTAATCGGTTCTAGGGCTTAAATTCCTTACTATTTTAGTAAATATCAAGAAGGTTGTACTATTCAATAATTTTAAAAGTGTTATATTAAATTTTTTAGTCAATTTAACAATTATTGAACATAATTGAAGTACAAGAAGCTAGTTTTTTGCGCACCAAACAGCCACTCAACACACCAAGCTTGGCGTCAGTTGTTTACCAGCTCAGAGGAAGGAACATCTTGTTTGAGACTCTTCAACATAAATGCTTTTTTTCTGTGTTTCCAGTCAAATCATTGGTCATTTTGAAATATATTTTACATATTGACAATATATAATGCAGTGCAGTGTTGATTTAAAGAAAATAATCTTGAATTACACAAAGTGAACTAAAATTTTATGGGTGAAATGGCAGCATGGGGTGACTTCTCTTCCAACCCAATGCCTTCTCTTCTCCCTTCTCCTCTACTCCCATTCTAATTCCCATCATCATCATCATCAACCAGGAGCCTTCTACATGCACACCTCAAAGTAAGTGTACTTTACTGCATTTATTTTTAATTTGCATGTAATTTTAGGTGAGCTGGAACCAATTACCCAAAAACCCATTGAAACAATGGTTTCGGTTAACAAATTTTTCGGTTAACGAGCAACCTTCTGGAACGAATTGTGCTCGTTAACCGAGGGACCACTGTAGCTGTTTCCCTGAGCGTTTACCTCCCCCCGGACTGTGCAAATATAAGTGGGTATTTATGTCGAGTTTTATCAGTTATATAAAAGATTTGGGACATACTATACAGCAGTACAAACTGTAGTTCATTACCTATTGTGCTATATGTTTGGTATCATTTGTCTCTGTTAGGTAAAAAAACAAAGAAATATGAAAAGACTTCATTCAAAAGCTAATTTCTACTGTACATCTTTGACTTCGGCTTTTTATGATAAATATTTAAAATTTTCTAACATCCTTTCTGAAGTGCTAATGCCTTTAAATCATTTGGATTTTGATAGTTCAGTTATTTAACATCCATTTTAGATAATAACAAGTCTACTTACCAATTCTGAACACATTTAGTTTGAATAAATGGACAGCTGCATGAACATTTTCTATGAACCAATCAGCTATTTTTACACAAGAGAGGCATGGCTTATGGGCCAGGTTAACGTGGAAATAGTATAGTTATACAGTACTAGCAGAAAAAGATAATTAAAATAATTTACAACAAAAAATTATGTACTTCAGAAATAACTGACTACAGTAGTAACTTGTGAAGGCCCAGATTTGCTGCAGTAAATGAAAATGGCACAATTTCCTTTGTTATTTTATTAAAAACTTTTAGCTGTCAAATATACCGAACTGTACTGTATGTAAAAATACAAAATTACAGTACCTAATACTTACTCTAATTATAAAGTATACTGACACATTTATATCATGACTTGCCTTATGAAGATGGATCTGAGGGCTACAGTATTCACCATTGCAATCCTGGGACCGCATACTCAAAAACATTTACGGGACTGTATCTCTTTGTTTACCCCATAACTGACTTACAGTCTCTGATCGGTATACAGTACTCAAAACAAATATTTGACAGCCGAGTCCGTAAGTGAGCCCGTAATCTAGCCCGTAACTTACAGCACCTCCTTAGGTGCTGTAACACGCTCGGCCCGGATATAGTAGTCGCTATTTCCCGATTTCATAAAAAAAAATTATAATATATGTTGTAATAAAGCTTGAGAGACTTGTTTTATCAAAGGATAATGAAGAAAATGTTTAGTACATCAACATACTAAAATACAATACAGTATAGTCCACATTTGCGCGGTCAATTGAACCAGTGGAGGTCCGCGTAAAACGAAAAACGCGTAAAAGAAATAACAAACCATATGGGATTAATTGAAATAGAGACTGGGCCGACCCCCAAACTCCACTTTTTCCGACACAATACGTACGTTGTAGTAAAAATAACATCTTAATTTTATGATGGTATGCACACACAATTAATATTTAAGAGAAATATCAATAATATTAGGTTTTTTAACACTTATTTTAGTAGAAAAGATGGGTCGGCACACGTGGATGGCGGCTGGTTCCGAGACAGAGGGCAGATTAGTTGCCCTTCGGTGAATCACTTTCACTACTCGCAGAGGTTTGCAGGGACTCCCAGACAAACCTCTCAAAGTCCATATCCTCACTGTCACCATCACTATCACTAACTTGGGCTGGCTGTGGTTGTGGTGGGTTGCGGGCGAAGAAGTCCTTAATACTACGTTGACGACTAGCATTGATGTTGTCGAGATAGATCTGGATATACGGCTCCATAACTTCCATCAGATGGTTATTAGACACTTCATACCGATGCTTGTCTGGGTCGTTGTCAAGGATGAGCTTAAGTTTCTCCCCCAACTCGATGATTTCCTTCACACAATCATGGCTTGGTCCAGGTAATTCAAGGTTTTTCTCGGGTGGTGGGGGTCCAGCGGAAGCCATTGTGAGGGGAATAGCGGGCACAAGAGAGAACTGTATACGCGGACTGAGAACAATGAGACTGGCCCGGTTAGGTCAGCGACTTCTACCCTCTAGTGGCAAGGCATGTCATGTTACATTAGACCAATCACAGCTAGCGGCGGAGGGAATGCGTGGCCCAATCACAGTCCGATACGTCATATGACGTCAGCGACAACGTAAGAGTGGCCTAATGCGCACCCCTCACCGCGCCGCTTCCCGAGTATGGTCAAGAATGGACCGAGTGAGTAAAAAATGGTATGGCGCGTCTGGACCTTGCCGCGTAAATGACCAAATTTACCGCATAATTAAAAGATTTCATTCTGGCAAGGCACCGCGTAAATGACCAAACGCCTAAACAAAAACCGCGTAAATCCAGACTATACTGTACAGTGGTCCCTCGGTTAACGAACGGTTTGATTAACGAAATTTCAGTTAACGAATTACCTCCCATAAGGATCTTCAATTCGGTTAACGAACAAAACTTCGATTAACAAAATCCTTACGAAAAACACGCTTAGTTGTGAGCATCAGCTGATAAGCTGATGGGCTAGTCTGCCAATTCAGTAATCTGCTCTATGTTTACATTCGTTTCCAGTGGAGTAAATATCAAGAAAGTTGTGCTCTTTAATATTTTTGCATTTTTATATTAAAATTATTAGTCATTTTAAAACTTAGTTAACATATTGATAATTATAATATATGCAGTAAAGGGAACTAGTTTTTTGTGCGCCCATCAGACGCTTGACTCACCCACCAGGCATCAGTTTGGCTTTGTTGACAGTGGAGTGAACATCGATTTTGTTGGTGTCTTGAATATTTTTTCATTTTTATATTAAAATTATTGGTCATTCTGAAATTTAGTTAACATATTGATAATATAGTGCAGTGTTGATTTAAATAAAATAATCTTGAATTACACCTAGTGAACTTAAAATTTTATTGGTGAAATTACTGCATCAAGCATGGGTCCCCTGAAAGGTGATTTCTCCTCCATCCCCAATTCCTTCTCTTCTCCCTTCTCCTCCAACCCCACTTCTAATTCCCATCATCATCATCAACCAGGAACCTTCTACATACACACCTCAAAGTAAGTGTACTTTACTGCATTTTTTTTTTTTTTTTACTGTGTACTGTATGTACAGTACTTTTCTGTGAGCTGGAACCGATTGCCCAATAT